CATCCTTGACTGAATACTTAAAGAAACGTCAACATGACCATGTGGAAGAACGATAACGTATGTTACAGAGTTTGGTGATAGAAATAAATAGCGGACGTGAATAATGGCACGTGCCATCTCACGTATACTAGTAATTCAAGACTAGGGCGAGGTGAACAGGACTAGGTGGTTTCAAAAAACTACCAATCACCCTTAGAACTACATGGTTTCTACTTTGGTAGGTCATGATATCTTATATGCTTATCTTGGCAATCATAATGCTTCTATCAGGTCGTAAAAATTGTCGAAAGCATACTAGCATTTTATATTTCAATGCATTGAGCCATATATCGTTTAACATCGCACCTTTACTTTAATTATATATTAAGTTATAACAACATCAGAGGTATGCACGCACCCAAGTTGCTTCTTTGTTAGTAATATGCAGGAAAAGTACAATTTAAAGAAGTTACTCATCTGACTAACGTACGTTTTAATTATTTAGGTAATCAGGATGTAACACACTATGACCTCTGGAAGGCGTTGACCCAAAAACGACTGCTATACGACCGCGGCAGTATTTAGGTAAAAAAGACCTTTGACATATTGACAAAAAAATAAATGAAACCTCTTTATATTGATCACAAGTATGCAAACCTGAAAGCGATACAAATATGCTACGTCTACTAGTCATTTGTCAGTCCACCATTACTTCAAGAATAGGTAAAAAGACGCCGATGTTATCGTTACCGACTTAGCTCAGTTGGTAAGCGCGCTGCACTGCGAATCATTGCTATTGCGATGGCGCGAGTTCGATCCTTGGTCGGATCATGTTATGATATGTTATGTATTGTGTTATTGTGTTATGCATGTGTTCATGTTACTAACACTGTTCTTGTTTCTTGTATTACGTCTGTCATCATGTTTATACGTTACTAACTACATGTTTCTTGTATATATGTTTCTTGTATGATGTCTGTCATATGTAAAAATTTCTCTTCATGTATTATGTAAGTCATTTGTATCGTCCTGTTATGTATGTCATTATGTTAATTGTATGTTACGTTTTGCGCTATGTCATATCTTTTATTAGTTATACCAAGGACGCGTCCTTGGTTATACACAGTTTGTTGAAAACTAAAGACAGTAGTCATTATTGGAAAAATGTCAACGTTACTCTATTTTTGATGCTAAAAATTAAAGTGTGAAGGAGAATGTGTTTACTTGTCATTTCTCTTAAAGTTTGTTTCTTTTAGCAGTTTCCTATTAAAGGATTTGTGGACACCGACGGTACTAACGCAGTCCTGGGTTTTAATTTTTTTATGACTTGTGGCCGGCCCGACTATTTCTGACATTCCCCAAAAAAGCACAATATGAGATGGGGTTTCATGACATAGAAAATATTACACATATAGCTGTAAACATAGGAACAAACGCGAACGTATTATTTGGTCCGATGTGGGTCCTCGCCACGGTAAAAAGCGCGGCCTCCGAGCCGCCAATCACGTGATGCCCTGACATGTCAATCATTCTGGAAGCCGTCACCAAGGTGACATGCGTCACTCCCCGGAGTTGTTACGAAGGCTGATGCACGTGGTGCGCTTAGCTGTCAATCATTTTGGCAGCCAAGGAAACCGTCACCACGGTGATATGCGTCGCAATCCCAGTACACACCGGGGTAAAGATGGCGGCCGAATGTTATTGTTGTTGCTGTAGTCTTGGCAACGTTACTTGTTGTCACGACAACTATAGTCGTGTTTAAGTGGTGGACATGAAACGACCGTATTCAGACTTTCTAGTCGTTACTCAGTCGTGAATCAGTCGACGCGATGGATATAGTCGTGAACTGGTCTGGATATTGACTATATACGACTAATACCAGTCCAGTTTACGTCCATCAGAAAGCAATGGGCAAAATGTACGACCAAAACACTACCGATTTCAGCCTATCCATTAAACACGACCAACGACCCATTTCACCCCCAAGTCAGACCGATCAACGACCTGCCCGTGCACTGTGATTGTATCTCTTATTATACCGCGTACAGCTTACCGTTATGACAAAATTATAAATAGGTTACATTGTTTTGTATACATTTTGTATATGTCTGATAAATATTTTTAGGTCTCCTCAAACGCAAGATGTTTATCGCTACATCAGAAGGACTGCGGTCCTGTCTGTATATAGTAGAGTGCTAGCTGCCTGTGTGTACTTTCTAGTGGACAGCGCCTTTGCAGCTATAGGGGAGGTCGTTTCTTTTCGGGGGAAGGGGATCATATGCGCATGCAGCCCATCCCCCAAAGTATGGTAGCAGAACACAGTTTTTCGCCTATGGGGATTTCTATAGTTAAGGACCAGGAAGAGACTGACATCGACTCGGATAAAAATACAGTAGGGTACCATAGAAAAGCACGAGAAACGAATATGTTCAAATATAGGGTACGATGTACAAAATATAAAAAAAGTACCAAAAGTTATCGTTTTTTTGACATTATGCCGACCTGTTTTAAATGGCCTCCTGCGGAGCGCACCGGAACTGCAGCCGACTCACCCTGGCAGGCAGCGAAAAGGTCACGCGCATTTATACGCCGATCGAGCAGCCTTCCTAATCTCAATTATGCGATATCAAAGCCGACATATTATGGTACCATACGGTAACTTGTATGTCCCGGTGTCATCCACGTTAGGCTGTGTACAAGCGGTGCAAGCTGTTTGTCGCACTCATTTCTTATCCCTACGTCATCGTCTCCGGGGGTCGCGGAAGAATACTGTGTGCTGCTACCTTATGTCCTCCTCCGATCCCCATACGACGGAAACTGCCGCCCTCTATAGCCACTCGTATACAGGGCTCGAAATACTGGGTGCATGTGCACCTTAGCAGCTGCACCTTAGTGCACCCAAAATTAGAACTGTGCACCCAATTTTTTCACCCAAATATTTTTGTAGGTATTTTTGTACATATCTTGAAAGTACATCTGTGTTGGTAGAAGTCATTATAACACGAGTTTAAACTGTAATTTCCAACACAAGAAACTGGACTCACCCAAATTTTCGACTGCACAACTCCAGTCTTTGTCAAGCCAAGGAATGAAAAATCCCATGTATTTTTGTACATGTATGTACATAATTTATGACTATGTATAACGTCTGTGTCCATAATATCACCATAGTCCATAATATCGCCACCTTGAGAAAAAGTGTGCTTAAAGATATTTTTACTACAACATACCCTAGGTATGTACATTTGAGGTGTGCAGGAGTGCATACCAAAAGTATGTTGCAGTAAAAATATCTAAAAATATATAAGCACACTATTTCTCAAGGTGGCGATATTATGGACCCTGGTGATATTATGGACACGGATGTTAATAGTATGCAGAATATTCTTGGCATGTGAGGGTCAGAAAAATAATAAAATCTTTGTTGCTACACTGTGTTAATGATTGAATGTCTCCCAGCCACAGCAATCAATAAAGGCACTTGAGATGCAAGGAATAATAGATTGTCCCTGAATGAAGGTCAATTGTCCCTTGTGTCACCTGTTAGATAGGCACTAGGTTGAACTAGTGCTGCATACCGGTTCACTGGACTTGGATCAGGACTTGTAAGAATGTTTAGGTTCAAGTCCAAAAAAACCTAAAAGTCAAGAACCGAGTCTGGACTTATTACCATAAAAGACCATTTCACATACGCTTTTTTTATTATTCACATGGATTTTTGAGCATTGGATAGGAAGCACTTGTTGTGCTTATGTAAATCCGCTGCTCATAAAACATAATACAAATGTAAACATAAAGATGACATAAAGTATAGCATTAACATAAAATGAAAGTGGCTGGCGCACCAATACCTAGCATAACATTATTGAGATTGGTCAAATCTTCCAGAGTGGTGGATATAGTTAAACACAATATCAAAGATACGGCAGTTGGTAGGGTAAGGGAGGCTTGGGCTACCTGTAAGAAGTAAAGTACATAATGTGGCGTCGTTTACGTTGAGTGGGTCGGAAGGAAGCATATTTTCAAGATGAAGGCAAGATATGGATAACAACATTTTGGTCCTTTCAGTATTATAACATTTGCAGTGTAATAAATAGTGTTCTGGTGTCTCATTCGGATGCCCACATTTGCACTCGGGACTACTGATACAGTGATGCTGGAATAGGTGGTAGTTCAGCTGGCTGAAACCAAGCCTGAGTCTGGTAAGGTGAGTCACATGGTGTCCGTGGCCGTGAGAGTAGTGAGGATGTCTGGGCATGCTATCAAAGCAAGACTCTAATTCATTTTTGAATGCACGAATGGATGGGGATTCTTTGGCGGTCTGGGGTAACTTGTTCCAAGAGGAAACAGCAGAAGGCAAGAAAGATTTTTTGTACATACCCTTTTTCTTTCCAAACCACCTAAAACCTTCCTTAGATTGTAAAATCTTTGCTGCAAAATGAAGAAAACATTGACATCGGGCATCGTTAAGTACCGGCCTTTATGTTATGTGAACAAAGTTTCATCCAGACAAATTGCAAGGTTGCCAACAGGCAATTTTGTATATGCCATGGGTTTAGGTCCGGACTTACAAGTCCGGAACTGAACCTAAATCTCTGGACTTGAATCCGGACCTGAACCTAAAATTTGGTATGCATCACTAGGTTGAACAAAAGGATATTTATACAAGGCTGATATCGGGCTTAACCCTTGTCTTGCTGGCATTCCTTGCACAATATTTTTCAATAATTTCATGTCTTAATTAGGTCATAGACCCCAAAATTTTTTTGCCCTGCAGTGGCATAATTACTTCCGCATTCGTTGCGTTTCGCTGCGGTGTGATGGGTTGCACGAGAATACCTCCAAATCGTACCTATACAGGGTGTTATATAGATGGTACTAACCTTAACCTCTGGACTTCAATCCGGACCTGAACCTAAATGTGGGTTTAGGTATGCAGCACTAGTCATACTCATACGTCACCTGTTATATTCTTCCATGATAAATGTAAATTCTGATTTTCTTGATGTCCTGATTTCTAGGTGAGGAGACAGAAATGTCCGGGTGACTGATTTGTCCGTCGCACCTTTCCGCGGGCCATGAGAAGGTTCCCCCACTACCTTCCCCTGAAGCAGTACAGTGAGGACTCATCGGGCGCCATGTCCACCCTGACGCGGACATATCTCGTCATCATCATCATCGGCTTCTCGGTGGTGCTGTCGCTGCTGTACTATGTCAGCAGTCACATGATGACTCCACAGCACAGAAGGGAACATCTTCACAACACACCTGGTTAGTGCTGCGTAGTGCTGTGTAATGGTTCACTGGATCACTAAAAAAAACTAAAGTCAAGAACCGATTCCTGACTTATTACAAAAAAAAGAAAGAAGGTTACTTTTTATCCATTTGAAATATTGCTCATGTCTGTATCAGCTACTGTAGTATTGTCACACAAACAATCTAGCCAATCAGATGGCTCGCTTGCTTCTATTCTGTGGGAAAACGATTAGAGAAGTGGGAGAAGTAGGATATAGTAAGTTAGCTACCTGTTTTTTCTGAGAGGCTATTTGGGGTGATGTAGTACTGCCTATAGATTTCTTTATTTCTGTATTTAGCTTTTCCATTACAAACTGGAGGGGAAGACAAAACTTTGCTCACCTCATCTTGTTCTCTCCCCCAAAAAGATACATTGTTGGTAGATTATGCATGTATAAAGCATACCCATACCAAATTTCAGATGATTTGGGTGTAATGGCAGGTCTCCAGGACCCCAAATGTACAGATTTTGTCAGGAAATGGAAAAAAAAAATTTTAAAAGCCTGTATCCAATAAAAAAAGCCTAGGGGTATTTGCCCACTCTACCTTCATGCCAAATTTCATGTTATTTGGCCCAAAATGAAGAAATTGAATCGAAATGTCAAAAAAGAAAGGAGGAGAGGAAGAAACACCATAGCACAGTTTCGTGGTGTAGTGACGCCATAAAAAGACGATGGTGCAGTGGCACTAGCAGGGAGAATGCTGTCTCAAAGTCAAACATCTCCCTCCCCCCTTGTCCCTGTTCACTACTGTACACAGTTTATATATAACGATATATATAGTCATAGAGACTGTGATGTATTACTAACTCATGTTACAGATGTTCAGGTGTTCCATAACAATCTTCCTTCTCCTTGCAGGACTTTTAAGAAAGCACACAGGTGGTCAACACACTCTGTTTGAAGAACCTGGTCACAGGTATGTTAAATCTACTATACCTGTATCCCAGATAAGCTAATATGTTATTGTAATAACAATTTTGGGGTCAGTCAGGTAGATAGCTCTTGTGCATATTGGAATGCTTTTTTTTTATCCATGCAAGGACATTGATTATTGAACTACAGGGCTTGAAATTCATTTTTGGGAATACTTGTGTACTGGTGCACCCAACCTAAAACAGAATGTAGCAGAATGTCAGCAAAAATTAACTAGGTATGTTTCGTTGCTAGGTATGTGCTATAAGAATGATTTTATTATTTTTCTGACAATTAGATGTCATAATCTGCTACAATCTCGACATACGCAGGAAAATTATTTTATGGTACTGTTTAAGAATTTAAGTATTTGTTTTTCAAGATCTATGATTGTCTATTTCTTCTGTAAAAATATTCTTTGATATTATAGTTACCATGATCATATTTCTTCCTCTCTTTCAGCAATGCTACAGACAAATCCTCAACCTCAAAAGATGACACCCAGAGCCATATGATAAGAATTCTGGAAGAAGAAACTGACAAAATATCTTACAATACTACGCCCTATTATTTGCAACAGACAACAACAAAAACTGTGCCCAAGGGCGGGAATATTAAAAAAGAAGACAGACCCGTCACTGTGAAGGAAACAGGTAAAGATGAGGTTAAAGAAATAAAAAAAGATGAAGCTGCCATCCAGATGAATGAAAGAGGTGTGGAAGATGTGGAGAAACAATGTCGACCGCATCAGGCCTCCAAAACCATTGTCAACACGCATCCAAAGTAAGTAAACTGTTGTTCCTCAGGCCTCGAAATTAACTTTTTTTACTACTGTCCCAGAATTGTCCCGAATATAGATTTCAATTGTCCCGAACTGAAGATGGACTGTCCCAGCCTGCTTTTCAGGAAAGTTAATGACAACAATAAGAAAACAACAACAATTGAATTTATGTAAATGTAGGAAAATACATGATAATATCATGGGCACGGCACCATCTTTGAGGCCCCCCTCCTCGATATTTGGAATCCCTGATTGGTCAAATTTAAATGTTTGTCAGAGTATTATGGGCTGCCGGCAGTCTGCAGCATGATTTATGGATTGTGTTCCCAAATGACGTGGATGGTCTCAGAATTTTCCAATTGCCCCGAAATTGTCCCGAAACGTAATTTGAATTGTCCCGAGCTGGGCCCTCTTGTTGTGCCCTTTCCTCACTTGTGTTGTGCTATTTCCTTACTCGACTCGGGCAAAAATTTGTGCAATGTACAGTCAGACCTGTCCAATCCGGCCACCCACCTTGTACAGGTGGTCTCCTTGAAGAGGGTCACCTCACAACATGACTCAGACATAAATGGTTTCCAAGTCGAGATATTCTAATGTCAGATGCTGTAAATGCATGTGGGGAGGGTGGCACATGGAACAATTTACCTCGAACAAAAACATCATCCAGCAGTCAAGAAAAACTGGCTGGTTTCTCCATGATTTCTCATTAGTAGTTAGCATCAATAATCAACATGATCGAAAATGATGTGGTCGCCATGGGCAGGTATCAGGCCTTAAGCAGACCCAATTCAGGGTGGCTGTGGTCGCGTTGGGCAGGTGGTCACCTTGGACAGGTTACTTAATGCTTGCATCAATGGGGAAAATTTTTGAGACCGAGAAAAAGTGGTCACCATGGCCAGGTGGCCTGCTTGCAGAGGTGGTCTTCTTGGCAGGTTTGACTAGCACACCACACTTACCAAGAAAAGGGGACTAGTTAACAGCCATGTAGCAATTGGTGATGTTGTAGGTACATATCCGATGATATAGTACATGTGTCATGTGAAAATGTATATTACTAAAGTGTAATATAATGTTTTTACCGTTCAGGTTTAGAAAGGACATTCCTCTGTTTGTGACCAACGACTACAAATCCTACAGCTCTGTTATGAACTATCCTCCTCCTTTTGGTCTAAAAGAAACAGGTAAGAAAAAGCACTTTGAAATTCCATATGCATGTAGATAGCCTCCTTTGCAGGAATTCTGGGATCAGTTGTTGTTTTTTTTGGAGGGGGGGGGGCTTATTTGCAAGTTGCAAAACATAGATCACATGCAAATATTAGAAGCTCTGGCTGCCAACCCTCTAGAATGTCCATTTGAGGGAACTTGCAAATAAGTAGCCTGACTGAACTTCGCTTTTCGCCGGCTCCCTAGTTAGTCCGCTATGTAGGGAGCCCCCCGGAGCTTGGGTTTCACAGGCTAGCAAAT